CCCTGGGTGCGTGGCTGAAGTATGACTCCGCGGCGCGGCTTCGGCTTTTGTTGTTGTTGTTATTGTTGCTATTGTTGATCTCTCACTACTGAAGAATAACTGTTGTTGATCCCCCACTCCGGTAACATGTGTTTCATTTTCCATTGAAGTGCCACTCCCGAGGCTCGCACCCTGTGTGTATCAGACAAAGCCTTAATGCTCAAACTGCGCCCCTGGCCCCCGGACTCTAACAACAACGGCTCCCGCCAGATACTTCCTCGCAAATTACTGAGGAATCGCGCTCTCGCTAGGGACTTCTTTGCAATTTATCCAAGACGCGACTTCCTCGCAATTTATTCAGCACCACGCCCTCGCCAATCAGAACTCACGCTCTCGCCTGGGACTTCCTCATAACTTACATAGAAATCGCGCTCTCGCCCGAGACTTCCTGGCGAATTATGCAGGACCCACGCATTCGCGCAACAAACGTGCTTTTATCAATTGAATTGCCCCTCCTGGGGCTCCCTTTGTTTTTACCCGGGAAAATCTACCTGCACAAACTGTGCCCCTGGCCCCCAGTTTACAACAACAGCAATGGCTCCCGCCGGATATGTCCGCACAGTTGATTCCCAAATCGCGCTCTCGCGAGGGACTTCCTCATCATTTAATGCAGGAATCACGCTATGGCGAGGGACACCTTTGCAGTTTATTCAGACGCCACGCCCTCGACACTTAGGAGTCACGCTTTCGCTGTGGATTTCTTCCAGATGTATCAAGGAATCGCGATATCGTTCGAGACGTCCTCGCGACTCATGCAGGACGCACGCTTTGGCAACCCGTCGGATCGACCTGGCCGTCTAGGCCCGCCTTCCCGGCCCGCCCGTCGTTAGGGTCACCCCCCCCCGATCTGCCAGTCTGGTCCTGTCACGAGCTTTCTGCTCCTAGCCCCCTCTGGTGTTATTTTCTCTCGTGCCCCATTTTCCTCCCATCTCCTTGTCCCTTCCTTCCATCCGTCCTCTATTCCCCTGCCTGAGGGGCTGCACGAAATACACAAGTTGCAAGTAAGAAAGAAACACCCTGAAGGGGGTACGATCGAGGACGATGAGGGCGGGTATCGAGGATTCGGGATATGCGTGTTGAGCGGCACGCGAGCGGGGGAGAGCGAACACTCTTGTATTGTTGTTGTTGTTGTTGTTGTTGGTGTTGTTGTTGTCGTTGTTGTGGTAGTGGTTGCTGGTGTTGTCGTTGTGATGTTGTCGTTATTGTTGTTGGTGTTGTTGTTGCTGAAGTCTCACTGATGAAGAATAATTATTGTTAATCCCCCCCACCTGCTCACCAGTGCATGTGGTTTTTCCTCAATCAAAAGAGTGCCCCTCGACGCTCACACCCTTTTTTTGACAGGGAAAATATTGATGCTCAAACTGCGCTCCTGGCCCCCGGGTTAAAACAACAACGGCTCCCGCATGAGACCTCCTCACAATTTAGCCAGGACCCCCGCTCCCGCCCGAGACTTCCTCGCATTTGATTCAGAAATCGCGTTCTCGCTCCACCGGCGCTCTGGAGTCTTGCGTTGGAATTTCTTGCGTTTTGCTCAAGCGCCGCGATCCCGACACCCAGGCACCCAGGAGTCGCGCCCGTTGTGGCCCCATGTGCATGCCCTTCGTGGCCCCGCTGTCGCCTTCTGTGGCCCCGTCACGTTCCTACGTGGCCCAGTTGCTACCCTCAGTGGCCCCATCGTTGCCTTCTGTGGACCCGCATTATCTGCTTTTCGTGGCCCCCACTCGTTCGCTCTCTTCGTGGCCCCATACGCATTCCTTTCGTATCCCCGGTGTCGCCCTTCGTGGCCTACTTCGTGTCCTTCGTGGCTCTGCTGTCGTTCTCTCTCGCTCTCGCTTTCGCTCGTTGTCGCCGTCGTCGTCGTCGCCGTCGTCGCCGACATCGTCATTGTCGTCGTCGTCGTCGTCGTGGTCAGTCCCCTGTCCGTCCCTCTTAGGGTCGGGTCGACCGTCCGCGGCCGCCCCGCCGATCAGCGCTGCTGCTGGCCAGGCCGACGGTCCGCGGCCGCCCCGCCGCTTGCCGGGGCCCGGCCTGCAGGGAGGAAAGGTATACCCCCCCCCAAAAGGGGTTCGATCGAAGACAACGAGGGCGGGCATCGAAGGTTTGGGCGAACAGATAAGGGCGAATAGTCTTAAAATGATTGTTGTTGTCGTTGTTGGTGTTGTTGTGTGGGGGGTTGCTGTTGTTGAAATCTCACTTTTGAAGAATAATTGTGGTTGACCCCCCCCGCGCGGTGCACGTTGTATTTTTCTATTGAAGTGCCCGTCCCGTGGCTCGCACCCTGTTTTTTATCCACAAAGTCTTGAAGGTGAAACTGCGTCGTCGGCCCCCGGTTTACAACAACAACAACAACAACAACAACGGTTCCCGCCTGATACTTCCTCACAATGTATGAAAGAATCGCGCTCTCGCTTTGGAAATCCTGGCAATTTACCACCGAATCGCAACTCCCGCCTGATACTTCCTGACAATGTATAGCAAAATCGCGCTATCGTTTGCGACTTCCACGCAACTTACCACCGAACCTTTTCGCTTGATATTTCCTCACAATTGATTCAAAGTCGGTCCTCGACAATCAGAAATCGCGTTCCCGCTACATAACGCCTGGCGGTTCAAGCAAGACTCACGCTTCAACGACCGTTGATGACTGCAGTCGCCGCTCGCTGCATTTCGCCCGCCTTCGGTGCCCCTCGTTGCCCGTACTGGTTCCGCGGTCGCCTTCGCTCGTTGCCCTTCATGGCCCCGTTGCTGCCCTCAGTGGCCCCGTCGCTGCCCCTTGTGGCCCCGCATTATATGCCCTTCGTGGCCCCCGCTCGCATGCGCCTGTCGTGGCCCCATACGCATGCCCTTCGTAGCTCCGCTGTCGCCCTACGTGGCCCCCTCGCTGCCCTTCGTGGCCCCTTTGCTGCCCTCTGTGGCCCCGCTGTCGCACTTTTGTGTCCCCGTATACGAATGCCGTTCGTGGCCCCCGGTCGCTTGCGCCCGTCGTGGCCCAACATGCGCGCCCTTCGTGGCCCCGCTGTCGCTTGTTGTGGCCCCCGTCAAGCCCTTCGTAGCCCTTTTGTTGCCCTCCGCGGCCCCGTCGCTGCCCTCTTTGGCCTCGGAGTTGATGCCCTTCGTGGCCCACGCTGTCTTTTGTGTTGTTGTTTTTTTTGTTGTTTTGTTTTTTTGTTTTCTTTTTTCCTCTCTCTCTATATATATATGTATATATATATATAAATGTATATGAATAAAAGATGTACTTGGGAATCGGGGTCTCGCTCGAGACTTCCTCGCAATTCAAGTTTTTGCCCCCCTCCTGCTACATTCTTTCGTGTTTCATTATTCCCCCTCCCCCTTTCACCCGCCCTCTTTTTCCTTGTTTTGGGGGCTGCACCAAATGCGCGGGGCAGATAAGGAAGATTTGCCGCCAAGGGGGCGCGATCGAAGACGACGAAGACGGGTACCGAGGGTTTGGGACATACGTACTGATTGGCACGTGAACAACTAGGAGCGAACGAACACTCTCATAATGATTGTTGTTGTTGTCGTCGTCATCGTCGTTATCGTCGTCGACCCACCCCGCGACCCACACCCGCGATCCACCCGAGACCCACCCACGAACCACCCGCGACCCACCCGCGACCCAACCCGCGACCCAACCCGCGACCCACCCCCGACCCAACCGCGACCCACCCGTGACCGACCCCGCGACCCACCCGCGACCCACCCGCGAAAAACCCGAGACCCACCCACGAACCACCCGCGATCCAGCCCGCGACCCACCCACATTGCTATGCCGGAAAAACCCGCGCCTGCGGCGCGCTCGTTGTATAACGCGTAGAAACTAAACGCCTGCGGCAGCCTTTTTCAGAGCCGCGACGTCCCCGCCGCCCCCTCAGCTTCTACCCGCAACTACGTGATGCTACGTGTTCTTCTCGTCCTCCTTTCTCCTTCTCCGTCCTACTAACGTCGTCGGCGGCACCGTTATCACTATCAGCGCTGGGAGGCCCAAACGGAAATGTCTTGTTCTTGGGTGCGTGGCAGAAGTGGCATCTGGCTGAGTCTGCTTGTTGTTGCGTTGACGTCGTCCTCGTCCACAACCCGCCCGCGACTCACCCACGACCCACGCCGCGACCCACGCTGCGACCCATGCGCGACCCACCCCGCGATCCACCCCGCAACCCACCACCGACCCACCCGCGACCCACCCCGCGCTCGCCTTTCACTCTTACCCGCAATTGCGAGGTGGTACGTGCGACTTTCCCGCGCCTTCCTTCGTTCATTACGTCCCATATAACCCGCATTGTCCACTGACGGTGCGGGTGTGAAAGCGGCGCGGCCAGTTCCATAAACCCAGCAAGAATCATTGCAAACGCGGACATTGCCAGCTCCAGACGGAGAATGCTTCAATCCATGGTTCCCGCCTGTCTGGGCGGGCCGCTCAAGAAACGGCAGCCGGGGGCGCTGGGGGGCCAACGGCCCGGAACATGCGGGGGAGTTGACACGGGGTACCGATGCCCCCGCTCATGGTGGTAGCGGCCCCGTGTGTCAACGCCCCCGTTTAGACCGACCGCCACCCAAGACTTGATCCATGTCCACCGCGTGGCGTCCACCAGTTCGGAGGCGCGCCTCTGGGGATCTTACGCGACGATTGGTTGACTGGCTCCGCGAGGTCGATGGGATGCGACAGGGGATGTCCACAGTTGACGTTCCGCGAGATTCTCGGAGGCACGCTTTCCGAACTGGTGGATGTGGATCCTCCCATGCCCGCTCCCCGCGCGCGCGTTTTCTGCGCCGCAAAGCCCGATGCGACCCTCTGCGGCGGCGCGCCTCCAAGAATCTGCGCGGACCTCCGAGACCCCATGCTTGTGCAATTCTTTCTCCCTTGAATTCAAAACAGGGGCTGGCGCGCGGCGGGGTGCCTCGAGGATCGGCAGGGGGGTCCGGCCTGATGGGTGGACGGCCAGGGCCCCCCGGGGCACCTAGCGCTCTGGCGTCCAGCGCGCGGGGCTTCTGGTTCTCGCCGGCTGCCTGCCGCTGGTTCTGGGGGGTCGCAAACAGTAATGGGGGGCAGCGATCCCCCGCCCCAGCGGGCGAGCAGTGAAGATGGGGGAGACGGGCGCGGGCCAGGGAGAGAAGAGGACGGAAGATAATGAAGGGAAGAGAGCGCTTTGCATTTCATCGTCAGGTTGCACGAAAAAGGCTTCTTTAGGCGTATCGGTTATTGATGCTCTTGTGCGTGATCTGCGCGATCGTCCTGCTCAAGGGAGGCGGTTCGGTCTCTCGGTGGACAGAAGACAACGCGGCTGTAATGTCCAGAAAACAAGCTTGCCGAGCGCAGCGCGCGCGTGCGCGCGTGCGCCGGCCGACCGAGAGGGGGCGAGGTCGCGCGCGCACCTTTGGCTTGGGCAAGCAAGCAGCTGCGGGCACCGCCGCATCCGTCTTTCCCCCTGCCAGCCCTTTGCTGAAGGGGATGGGCAGGGCAGCTTAAACGTGGGCGGGGGGCGATCGTAATGCCCCCCCCCCGCGGCCTCCCGGCAACGCGCGGCCGCGCGCGGGCGGGCGCCCGCACTTCGGCTAACGTCCCGAGCAGAAGATGCGGGCCACGCCAAATGGAAATCAGCAGGCCCCGAGAGCGCAAGACAGACTTCACCCCTTCCCCAAGGGCCACTCTGGGCCCCCAACGGCGCCAACCCCCAGCAAGTTTAGGGCGCGCGTGGGAGGGAAGGGAATACTTCTGCCACTGCTCTATGGGACTAGCCGAGGGCCGCCCGGCGCGCCCCGCTCAAAATAGCAACGACCGCCCAGCATTTAACTCAGCGCCAGCAATCCTGGGGCGCCGCCCCGTAGCGTGCAGGGCCAGGTCGAGACACTGTCCCGATGCTACTGCCCTGACCTGTCATCGTACAGCCACTGTCTGCCATATGGACCATCACGCTGCGGATTTTTCAGCACTGGCCGCCAATCCAATTCCGCCAGCCGGCGCAGCTCGATGATGGGCCCCGGGAGGCCCAGAGGTCAGTTAGGTCTGCGCGCCAGGGAAGGCGGGAACATGCCGCGTCGGTAATTCACGCCTGCGCGTTCCTCTGTTGCCAGGGTGGGGCAGGCGTCTCTTTCGGTGACGTCTCGGGCAGTCGCACTGGCGGGGGCGGCGCAGCCGTCGACCGCGCCGATGGAGGTGCTGCCTCCGCCAAGCGAGCGTCGATCGCCCCGCGCTTGTCAATCGACGCGCACGGCCCTGAACGACGAAGCGCACGCGGCAGCATTCGTAGTTCCAGCACCCCCCAATTCGCAGGATCCCAATCTCGCCGACGCATGGTGCGGATGCGCTCTGGAGGCGCATAGCTCCCACTTCGCTTCTGCGCACGCGGCGGCCCACGGCTCCTCTGCCCGTCCAGCGCGTGACGGAGGATGCGGAGGACGCGTCGCGCTGGGGCGCTTGTGACTCGCAGCGGAAGACGGTCCCCCGCAAGCGCCATCATCAGGCGGGCCATCATCGCCATCGTCGCCATCGCCGCGCGGTTCCGAGGCAAGGTTGTCCTCGGGGCCGCACGTCTCGAGCGGAGGCCAATCGACCCTCAGCTCTTCCTCCGCGGCTTCCTCCAGTTCAACCAGAAGGATGTCGTGGGCAACCCCCTCCGTGGACCACCAACGATCCCACCCCATTGCTGGGCCGCTGGAATTGGCGCCCGTGGGGCGAAATTTAGCCGCAGCCGACAAACTCCGAGATGCCAGAGCAAGCGCCTGCATGGCGGATCCTACGACTCAAGTATGGCCACCACGTGCGAGCTGGGACCACAGCGTTAGGACCCGTTGCTGGGGGCACCGAGAATGTCTGGTAGTTCAGCCAGCGAAACCCAGGGTTTCGCGACTTGTCGTGCAGCCAATTATTGCGGTTCTGCACGCGAGGCCTGAGTTGTCGATGTTGGGTGCCATGTCAGGACGGACATGATGTTGTTAGAGAATGCTGTCTTGCCCTGCAGGGCCCGTTCACGACGGGACTGCGCCTGCCTCTCTTGGTAGGTACATGTTCGCCTAGGTATTCCACGCGCTCCTGTCTGGAATCCGACCTTTCAAGAATTTCGTCTGCCGCATGGGCCGAGCATGACCAGGGGCGCTGCCCCCGGTCTCTGCGCCGACCACCTGATTCGCCACCTTCTCGACTTCAAGTGTCACACACGCAAATGCTGGCTTCGCGCTGCGTGGGGTGCTGATATGAGGCTCATGCAGAATCGGCAGCTTACAAAGCAGGGAATGCATCGCTACCAGCAGGTTCCTACACCTTGGAATAAACAAGACCCATCTGGCTAGACCCAGAACACCCGCGCGCCACAGATCCGCGAAGATACCGTTGCCAGGTAATGGCCCGACAACTTAGCTGGGTTGCCCACGCCGAAATCGAAGACGCGCGCATCCAATTTTTCCGCCGAAAACGCCCGAGACCAGCCGTTCGGCCTAAGCACTCTCGGAAAGTGGTGATCCCTTTCAACCGAAGTGATTCCTCCATTGGCGCTGTCCTCGCCTGGCACCGCAACGTCGTCATCGGGAACAAATGCCCAACTTAGCGGGAATGGCCGACATGAACTTGCACTGTCTTTTCCAAGTTACGTCTCGCTCCGGAAGGATTCCTATCAAGCGACCTGCAACGACAGCGAGCGCGCTCTGGCGAGACCACCCTCAATGAATGTCCCGAAGCGGCCGAACCTGCGACGGCCCATTCTTGGGCCCAGAGATAGCGCCGCCATCGCGGGGTCTCCTCCGCCCGAAACTCTCACTCCAATATGGGGGCGACGGCCAACTCGTCGTCTTCGAATCTTTGCACGCCGAAGGCATGCGCTGCCTTCCTGGACAACGTGCCCAACGCGCGCGCAGGAGACGAGCCAGCAGCTGGTCAAAATCTTCAATGATGAGAGTATCGACCGCGCTCTTAACCTCTATACAGCCACCAGCGCTAAGTACGTCGGCAGCGCGGTGTTTGACCATCTCCAGGAGCGGCGCGCCCATGCGCGTGGCTTCTTCTTCGTCAGTGCCGCTTTGCCACGCGCGCAGACCGCGGTCAGCCGATGGCGCCATCGGCGCGAGGCTGTGAGCTTTCGCGGGCAGGTCTCCTGTCTCAAACAGCATTATAGCGTGCGCGGTGGAAAACGTCTGCGGCAGTGCGACCTCCGTCGTGTAGTACGCCGAGGACTTCGAGCAACGCGTCACCTGTGAACTCGGCGCCCTCCCCGCTGGCCCGCTCCACGGCGTCGCCCTGCACAGAAGGCGCGCGATCAGGGCGCTCGATGGGTGGGGCGGGGCAGGCGCTATGCGCGGCCTAAAATCTCCGTGCTAAGACCTGCGCTACAATGAACAAGACATTATCCTTCTCTTCTGCGTCGGCGATAGTTGGCCATCAGCATGCAGGGGCCCCTCATTCGAGCAACAACACACGAAGCAATTCCTCTGACTACTCCTCGTCCATCGATGGATCCGGCGGCGCAGAAAGCCAGAGGTGCCCGCGCCAAACGCCTTGGGCAGCGCGTTGTTCTTCGCGGCGAGCGGCAACAGGTCGGGGGGGATGCGTCCCACGTCGGAGCTTAGTGCAGGCCGTGGCACCAGATCAACGAAGTCAGCGCTGACGCTATCACCAGGCCCGGGACTGGGAGCCCGCTGCTCTTCCGCCATTACGACGTCGGGCTCCGCCTGGGCCTCGGACTCACCGCGTTCGTCCTCGCATGACTCATCGTCGCCCGCTACTGCGTGTAAGAACGCACCGGCGCGAGGGGCAGGAAGGCGGTCAGCCTCCGCGGGCTCTGTCGCTGGAGAATCCACGGGGTCTCCGGCAGGCGGCCGTGGCGGTTCTGCCCCTTCTTCCCAATCCACTTCAGAGTCATGTCCCGGCGCCTCAGGCAACGGCGGCGGCGGCGGCCCGCCGGCGCTGCAAGCGGCCTTCCGGCCGCGTCTCGGCGGCGGGCTCACTGACATGATTGTTGCTGAGACACTTCCTGTGTAGCTATCCCCCCGTCCGATTTAGAGAGGGCGCACCTTTTCTTGCGACTCCTCGCCGCGCAGCGCGGAGGGGGCGCGCGATCTGCGCGCCGCCTGCGGTAGATCCTTCGTTCCTCGGCCGCTATCCTGTGGTCGGCCTGCAGGATGCTCGCAGTTGCCCAGTGAGAACACGCCCCGCGCTGCGGCGCGCATGCGCCGATGCGAATGGCGGAAGCAGTGCCGCTCTTCAGGCGCGCGATAACTGGAGGCGCGATTTCCCCCGGATGCATTTCCGGCATCGAGGCGCAATGGCATCCCAAGCGCAGACACATGTAGACTTGACGCGTGTATAACATGGCCATGGAGGCGACGCAGTCGCTCTCGCCGCAGGTTCTGTGCGCCGCGCGCCGCGAGTCTGGGATGGCGGCCCCCTCCATCGGTGCATGCCGATAGTCGGTTGCTGAAGGCCTGGGGCCCCGCGGCCTTGCATGCGGGAAACAAACATTTCATGTGCTTTATAATAAGGCCCAGACCGAGTCGCGCCGCGGGCCCCCCAAGAGTTCGCATTCCTCCCGCCCGCAATGCCCCGGCGAATTATCATGGCGAGGGCGGCGCCTGATCGTCGCGTGGAACGCGGCGCAAAAGACTCCGCTGCCGACGTCGCGTTGTTTCGTGCTTCTGCGGCCCCAGGGCATTGGGGGCGCCCCCCCCGCTTTCCACTAGCTCGTTCTCATTCTCCGCCTCGTCGGCCTCCGAGGAAGATGGGGCCGTCGCCGCCTTCCGCCAGGCCGAGTCGGCGTTTCGGCGCGAGGCCGAGCTCCCCAGCGAACGACGCGCCCATCAAAAGTTGGGCCCCACTCCTGCAGGAAGCTGAATCGGCGAATCAGGGCCCACCCCCGCCCGCCCACTGCACTTGTCGAGCCTGTCCTCGGAGGGATTAGTACGGCGCGGCAGAAAGAACTAAGATGTCTCGACGTCCTGGCACCAGTGCGCAAGGCCACCAGCCAGTAGCATCGCGAAGCTCCCCGGTGACGCAGTTGACAATGTGCTGCGCCATCTGGGCT